CGGCCCTCGGTGCCCGCCGCACCGGAGAGGGCTGCACAGCCGTAGCCCCGCGGGGCCGAGCGTTTCCCACCGCGTTTCTGTAGTGTAGTGGTTATCACGTTCGCCTCACACGCGAAAGGTCCCCGGTTCGAAACCGGGCAGAAACACGCGAGTTTCCTTTTTTCCACCTTTTTTTTTTCTTAATTTTCCGCACCTCCACACGAGCACTTTTAGCTCTTACAGACGCCTTCGCCCCGCACCTTGCTCCAGGGCTGGGCAATAGCCGCTGGGTAACAAACCGAAACGAACCTGCCAGTCCGGAGCTCTTTCTGCTCTAGTCCCTCTCCTGAGACGAATCCCCCCCAAAATCTCCCCCACCCCCAACTGCACCACCTGCATCTGGGGTGATGCTCAGAAGCTGCACCATCCCCTTAACCGTCAGAGCCCGGCTAGCTCAGTCGGTAGAGCATGAGACTCTTAATCTCAGGGTCGTGGGTTCGAGCCCCACGTTGGGCGCTGAATCTTTTCCCCCTCCCCTCCGTGGGGCACTAAACTACATCCCTCCCCCCAAAACCCACTCGTGAAAGCGGCTGAGCCCCAACTCTTCATGTTTTTATTGAAAGCAAAGGGTTGGGTTTTGCGGAAGGAAGGAAAAGATCTGAAACCAGGGATGGGAATCACAGCCCTTCTTCCACCATTTTCCCTTTATAGAAGTTTTAATCATAGCCATTTTTCCATCATTTTCCCTTTATTTAAGTTTTCCGAGCCCAGTTCGCGTCACACAGGGCATCAGGGCCCCGTCGCAGCCCGTTTCTTACTCCCTTTTTGAAGCAGAAAGGCCGGCAGCGCGAATTCCCCTCTCTGCCACTTTTTTTCTCTACATTCATTTCCTTGGGGTTTTTCTTTTGCTTTGTCTTCCTCTCTGGTTTTTAGAGGTATATACTTTTTTTTTTAACTCGCAATTTAGAGAAGTCCTAAGGCAGAAGAGCTCACATCGATGCGCAAAGTCAATGCCCGAGGGAAGCTGCAGCATCGTAGCAGCTACGCAGATGATATAAAAAAACCGCTATTCTGGAGAGACCCCAAAGAGCTTGAACTGAGGCCGGATTGTCACCACACTTGTGAGAAACGGAAAAGGACATTTTACTTTATTTTAGCCTTCATTAAAAGGGCTTGCTGTGATCTTATAGGTAACTCGTCCCTAGGTACTGGTCAGCACCACGTATAATAACCACAGGTACCACACCGGGGGTCAAAACTCTGGCTGCGGCGGAGAAAAAAAGGAGACCAGCATCTTCTCAGCTGAATTAGGGGTTTTCAAATCACCTCGAATTAGTGGCAATGAGCCACGGGGTCAGAGAGGTGGCCGAGGTGACGTCAGAAGTGGTGGAGGACGGCGGGGAAGCCACTGGAAAAAGACATCAGGTTTGCTCATCTTAAAAAGGGGGAAGGAGGGAGATAGCAGTGGATTTAGAGACTGGTCAGCGTCGCTTCATTTCCTGCAATGTACTGGAAAAAATACCTAAGCTGTTCATCACCTAAAAAATAACCGACGTGGCTTTGCAGTACGTTGAGTTCCTTCCCTTGCGGGGAGGAGAAAAACGGGGATTTTAAATCTGGATGGACCAGGATTTTGAAACTCTCGCAACAGCAAACAAGGGGACCGTGGACTTGCTGATAATTCAATGCTGAGCATCGAAACCCGGCGTCCAGCTGGGTGGGTTTGCCGAGGGTTGGGCTGCGCATGAGCCTGTCGTGAGCCTGGTCTTAATTAATATTTCCCCAAAGCTTTGGCTGAAGGAGGTGGGATTGTTGGACTCGCAGGTCGGAGACCCAAGGGAGGGTGCTGAAGGCTGGGATCAGCGCTTGCATCGGTGGGCAACAGCCCATGGGTGGGTACACGATGAACATTTATCTGCTACCAGGGAATGCAGATCCCGTGCCCAAACACGCAGGCAGGAGTATTTTTGGCATGGGAAAAGCCGTTGCCCCAGGTGGAAAATTGCCTGTTGCTGGAGGAGAGCACAGAGGTGTCTGTAAGAGCATCCCGACCAAAACCCTTTCAGGATGGGTCCAATCCTGGTGCCTGACCTCGGGGCAGGGAATGACCGTGGTGACCCCCGAGCACGCCCTGACTTATCTCGCTGAGGACGTCTGAAGGACTTCTCTCATTTTTTTTTTTGGTGCTGCGTGATTCATTTCCTCCGTCGAGTCACTTCTCGCGGCTCAGGAGCTACAGGCGTCCCCGCGCGGCCAGAGCCGCAGCTGCGGAGGTGGCCAAGAGGAAAGCAAAGCTTAGATTACTCATTTGCAATTAAACCAGCGACTCCTCGGCTTGAGCACGTACGGAGGAAGGAAAGAGGTACACGACGATGCACGAACGTATCGCAGGGCTGTAACCCGATTTGGCGGATCGGGCCCGGCTGGTAATTAAAATATACACCCAGCTGTTTCAGCCTGGGCAGGGTTTGACCCAGAGGTCCCTCAGACCGGGTTTATTCCTGGTCCTGGCGGTTACGTGGGAGCGTCCTTCCCTCCTGCGGGCTGGGATCACCTCCTAAATGAGCGGTGAGGATGCTGAGTATCCAGCAGCAGCGCTGAGCTCAGGTATTGCCGATCAACCCTATGGCTCTTCCTCCAGCCGGGCTCAAAAACACCTGGGAAAAAGAGGGAAGAAAAGGGTTTTTTTTTCCCCGTAATTTTGTGTTTTGGCTGCACAGAGATGCTGGTGAGGGGCAGGGGGAGAGCGATGGCGTCCGTAAGCTGTTCTTGCTGCCCAATGCTCCCCACCGTCAACTCGTTATTTGGGACTCGAAGGTCACGGGTCGGGATGAGGAACTTCTTTTCCCTCTTCTCTCTTTAGCAGCAAACTTCTGAAGACCTTGAAACGCCTTTTGGAGTGACTCAGGTTTCAGAAGGGTGTTGCAAAACTGCGTTTTGCGCAGAAAACAGCTTGAAATTCCCCTTTCTCCGCCCCTCCTCCCTTTTACATCCTTTACGAGGCTGCACTTTTCAAACAAGACCTCCCAGTTCAACTAGCAAAGGCTAATCGAGAAGGAAACTTCCAGCTGCTGCCAAAAGAAAAAAAATAAAAATCAATGAAGCGAAAGTAATCGTGTCATTCTTCTTCAGCCATGGCCGAGTGTGACCCGCTGGAGAGTCTGCAGAAAGAAGCATCTTGCTCCATCTGCCTGGATTATTTCAGCGACCCGGTGTCCATCAACTGCGGGCACAGCTTCTGCCGGGACTGCATCACGCGATGCTCGGGAAAATCGGACCGGAGGTTCGCTTGCCCCCAGTGCCGAGGAATTGCCCAGAAAAGAAAATTTAGACCGAACCGTGAGCTGAGGAACCTGGCGGAGATCGCCAAGAAGCTGAGCTCGAGGGCAGGGTACGCGGCCGCGGCGGGCAGCCTGTGCCCGAAGCATCAGGAACCACTCAAGCTCTTCTGCCAGGAGGACCGGACAGCCATCTGTGTGGTGTGCGACCGCTCCCACGCTCACCGTGCTCACACCGTCGCCCCCATCGAAGAAGCCGCCCAGGAGTGCAAAGTAAGAAATCGCAGCAGAGTGCTTTGCTCTGATGT